CCCAGACTCTAGGTGAAGTCCCAGTTGGCTTCCTTGTGTCTGTCTGGGTTTGGTTTTGTTTTTTTTTTTTTTTTTTTTGGGGTTTTTTTTTTTTTTTTTTTTTTTTTTTTTTTTTAATCTTTTAAACTGATATCACCACCCAGCACTTAACTCTACTCCTAAGTAGCACCTACAGTAAAAGGTTATAGCACAAGCAAACTGCTAAGGTCAGCAGGTAAGCGAGTTAAACAGTGCCAGCAAAACGTGGCCCCTCCCTCCCCAAAGTAATGAGAAAAAACAGCGTGCTAGATAAGAGTTAAGTACACCATTACATGTTAAATAGTTAATATTACCCTTCCGACAAGCCACAAATGCTAGATAGAGAACTTCAGCACAGTCACTAGCCACAGCCCTAACATTACTGCTTTAAAATTAAAAATAAAAAGAAAAAAAAAAAAAGGGGGGGGGGGGGGGGGGGAGAAAGAGAGGAAAAACCTTTGCTTCATGCCCGTAATTAACATCAAGGAAATTCTTTGTATATTATTTTTATTAAGGAAAATCATGCTAAAGCAAAGTGGTACTTTACGAGGTTTGTTTTGCTTTTTGTTTTTTCCCCAAAAGAAAAGAAAAAAATAAAAATAAATTGATTGTGCTTTATGAGAATTAGAAATAGGATTGTAACCTTCCAACCCCAATGACCCAAAACTTGGTGGCGTTTCTAAAGAAAAAAAAACAACAAACCAACCCAAACACCCCACAATTCTGGGAAAATGACAAATGGACCAGTCTGACAATCAAAAACTCTGCACCAGAGTTGCTCAGGGTGGGCTGATTTTTTTTTTTCCCCCCATGCACTGTCCTGTAGGTTGCACCACAAATGAAAACATCTTGTCCAAACCCCTCCGAAACCCCCCAAAAGAATACAGCAGGTAACATTCAGCTTTAAAAATCCATCTCGGTTTGAATCTCCAAACGCACAATTATCCCAATTCAAGTATACCAGCATCCCAGGTAGACATTTAACTCTATTAGGTTTCATAGCATTAAAACAAACAAACAAACAAAAAAAATAAGAAATCTCAGCTCGCTGAAAGACACCAGGAGAAATCAAACATTTCAATTCAGAAGCATCCTGGAAAAAAAAAAAAAAAAACAACACCCAAAAACCAACAAAAAAGAGCAGATTCATTTGCTTCCTCGATTGGTGCTTTTAGGCTTTTTTTTTTTTCTTTTATTATTATTCCATTTTTTTTTTTCCTAGATCATATTCTTTGTTAACTTTCAAGAAATTTTAATCCCGTTGTACACACACACAAGCAGATGGCTACCAAGCTGGTGCAGAAGGGGCGGGGGGAAGGCAAAAAAAAAAAAAACCAACAAAAAAACCCAAACAAAAGAAAAGGAAAATAAAAATCAGCGCCGATGGATTCGTGGACTACAGCCAACGGGCCAATCTTCGTGGACCTGAAGCTCTCAATGAGGCAAATCCATCTGGCAAGAGGACCCTCTTAGGAGACAGGCGAGTGTTTGCGAGGTGTTTAACCATACTTCAAGCAAGAGGAAAGAAAAAAAAAATAAAATTAAAAAAAATACAGCAACCTTGAAGCCGTTTAAAGGGCAGCAGTTTCAAAACTATGACAAAGTAAGAGTTTGAACTTCACGTGTGCTCCAGCTAAATCAAAGTGCTGTTCCGAGAGCATCCTTTTGTGGTTTGGTTTTTTTGTTTTGTGGTCTTGTTGTGTTGGGTTTTTTCCTCCCCAAAAAAAGGGAACAGCTCGTAATCCAGAGACCAAGAAAGTGAGTAACATCCAGATGAAGGCTTTTTTCCAAAGTCCCCAAAGCGAATAGACCAGTGGTTGTCAGTCCCTACAGTTCAGAAGGGCAGGCAGGAGTCCACATATAAAAACGGACTTAAAATCCAAGTCAAAATTCTTAAGCTTCAATGCTCTGAGTAGCTCCATGCATTTGTACTGTTTGTTTTTAGTTTTTATTTTCTTTTTTTAAATGTGACTCCACGCAAAAGACGATCAGCAAGGTTGACCTGAAGGAGCACCTTTTATTCCACTGTTCTGATCTACACAGTTTTTAGTACATCATCTCCCAGATTTTTATAGACTTTGCCAAAAAAAAAAACAAACAAAAAACCACAAACCAACGCTGTTCCACGTTATAGCATCCAAGGTGGTGTCTTTGGGGAAAAAAAAATCATGGATGAGAAAGCAAACCTCTTTGCTAAACTCCCCTCCCTACCAGGGCAGCTGTTTTCAGCTGACAGTTCAGTAGCTCACAGGTTGAACTTGGCCAAATGGAATATCTGAATGCATGCATTGGGGCTGCATATTGCTACCAAAATGGAATGTGGGGATATGCTATGCACCTCGGGCTCGAGAAATGACCAAGAAAAGCAAAAACAAAAAAACAAAAACAAAAACAAAACAAAACAAAAAATCAAAGATCCTAAAGGGTGATATATATATATCAATGCTATTATTCATAAAAACCTTGTTTAGTAATAAAAAAAATTGCTTTGTTTAAATATGAATATTATAGTCTGCTTCTCATGGTTAGGAAATTAGAGTCTCTCTGAAAAGCAGGTTGCCTCTTCTACTACAACTCCATATCCTGAGCCTCATCTTCGGAGAAGTCGGACATGGAGCTCTCAGACGAGCTGTCCCCGGTGCCTTCTTCCTGTTCTTTTAGTGCTTCTTCTGTTGCATATTTCTGAATGTATTCTGCAAGGGAGAGAAAAGAAAAAGACACATCAGCAGCACGTATTCAACAGGCAGAGGATGAATGAACTCTGACTAATGGCTGGTTGGGTCACATCATGTTTGTTAAGTCGTGTAGATCACCTTATTTCTCAGACCAAAGGCAGCAGCGTTGTCCAACAACACGTAGAACAGCTGATGGGGACCGTGGAGACACACAACACCCTTGGAAACAATTATGATCCTAAGGCTTCCACGCCAGCATCACACACACTCATAGCTGGAAACAACCCAAGTCCTCCCCAGTATGGTGCACCTCACTTAGTAGGACAGGATTTGATCCACCGTCAAAACAGGAGCTCCCTGGGTGACCTGGAGAACAAGCCTAAAAGCCACCCAGATGTCCCTGTCATAGAGCCTGGCTTCAAGGAATGAAGATCTGAGAGTTTAAACCACAGAACAACCATCACTGAAGCCAAGCTGAGAGCCAGACCAAGCTTCCAGACTAAACTCTGCACAAGCAGAGCGTAAAGAAGGACGGACAGAAAAAGCAAGAGCAGAAAACTACGGCAGGAATGGTTTTCTGTTTGTTTTTGTTTGGTTTTTTTTTTAATAACAAGCAAAAGCTCTCTTCCCCAGCCTTGAAATAAACACAGGTTTGCCCCAGGCTCTGTTTTCAAAGCACAACCCTCACAACCTGCTTCATGTCATGCAGCGGCCATAGGATTAGCCGGGAAGGACCCACAGGGAGCCCTCCACGGGAAAGAAGGACGGACAGAAAAAGCAAGAGCAGAAAACTACGGCAGGAATGGTTTTCTGTTTGTTTTTGTTTGGTTTTTTTTTTAATAACAAGCAAAAGCTCTCTTCCCCAGCCTGGAAATAAACACAGGTTTGCCCCAGGCTCCGTTTTCAAAGCACAACCCTCACAACCTGCTTCTTGTCAGACAGCGGCCGTAGGATTAGCCGGGGAAGGACCCGCAGGGAGCCCTCCACAGAGGATGGAAGGCCACCACGCCGCAGGTCACCACTGGAAACCGTGTCTCACAGCAGGGTCCAAACCACACCGGCTCTAGGGACCCAGAGCAACACCTTGAACTTCAGCCAGGAAGCTGTACAGCAAGAGGGAAAACTGGTTGACTGGGATTCCTGCAGGCAGGGAAAGTAATCGCTGCCAACCGTGGCTCATGTGGCTTTCCACGGTCACCTCCATGAGGAGGGACAGAGGAAAAAGGCAACACAAAGAGTCTGGAATCACCTTCCTTCCTTTGTGGCCACAGAAGGCTCCTACAGCGTCCCCTCCAAGATCTGAGGAGGGGCTGGTGTCCCCAGCAGGCAACTGCCTTGAGCAGAAAAAGCCTGCTCCTTCCACCCGTGGAGGTAGAACCACAGAACGGTTTGGGTTGGAAGGGACCTTAAAGATCATCCAGTTCCAACCTCACTACCCTGGGTAGGGACATCTCCCACCAGGTTGCTCAAAGCCCCGTCCAACCTGGCCTGGTGTGCAGAGGGGAGGAGGAGTGAAAACCTGGGCTAAAGAAGGGGTGCTCAGCCTCAACTTCCAAGTCTTCCTCTTATTTATCTCCTTTTTTGCCACCTCACACGGAGAAAGCAGCATCACAGCACGAAGAAGTGATGCAACCTCAGTCTCCCAACAGCACGTCCTGCACACCAGGCTTTGGGGAGGAGAAGGGTGTTGTGCTCACACTGCTGTTGGGAAATCTCAGTTGCAAACTCAGTATTTTTCCACATACAAAGGTATTAAAATACACCGAAGCCTCCTCCAAAGAGCAGGAATTAAAAAAAAACCTGAAGAAAGAGGGAGTAACACCTTCTCTTTGTCCTCAAAAAAAAGCTTCTGCATGGAAATGTGAATGTCACATCCCAGTCCCAGCCCAGCAGCTGCCCCAACTGAACGTTCTTTCATTCCTCCTCAGGAATGAAGTCCACAAGCAGCATCTCTCCTCCAGGAGCACAAACCATAGAATGGTTTGGGTTGGAAGGGACCTTAAAGATCACCAAGTTCCAAACCCCCTGCCCTGGGCAGGGACACCTCCCACCAGACCAGGTTGCTCCAAAGCCCCCTCCACCCTGCCCTTGAACCCCTCCAGGGATGGGGCAGCCACAGCTTCTCTGGACAACCTGGGCCAGGCTCTCACCACCCTCACAGCAAAGAGTTTCTTCCTGAGATCTCATCTCAATCTCCCCTCTTTAAGTTTAAAACCATTCCCCCTTGTCCTGCTTTTTATGCCATACCATATGGGCAGGTGGATGCACTGAGAAAGCCACAGGAGGTTGCACCTAATGCCAGAAAACCAAGTCCTCCACCACTGGTTTTTAAAGACTGGGCTTTGCAGAGCCCAGTTCTTCTTAAAGTTGTCCCTCCATCCCTCTGCACCTCCATCCTTCAGTCCTCTGGAAAGGAAGATACTCTGCAAGAAGTCTGCATTTTTTGTGATTTTTTTTCCCACATTTCTGGAGCTGACATAGGGACACTGAGCCAAAATATGTTACTTTGGGTTCAGGAGTAGACCACGGACGCAACAACCCAAAGTCAACACTTCATGGAGGAGTTCCCAGGATGGAGCAGCTGGTGGCCTTGGCAGACCCGCTCCACCCTGGAAAAGCCAGGAGGGGCTGGGTAGAAGGTGCTTCTGAGCCCCACGAGCTTCAGCTTCTCCATCTCATGACGTACACCGCTTCAGTCTGTTTAATACACATTATTAACCTGCTCACTGGGGCTACAGGAGCAGCTGTTCAAATCTGGTTTACAAGAACCTGTTAAGAACTGATAAAGTATTGAACTATGCAAACACCAGGAAGCACAGAGGGCTCAAGGTCTCAGATTGCCCTCAGGGCTGTTGGAGCCCACAGAGCCTCAACAGAAAAGCAGCCTTGGGCTCCATCCTCAGGTCCTGGCCACTGAGAACCTTCTCTTCTTGGAAGGTCCTTGCCTGTGTCACCATGGCCCTCCCTGATCATGTCTCCTGCCTGGACTGGAGAAGAGGAATCGCAGGGACCATCTGCCAAAAGAGGTGGACACCGCCAAGTGAGAAGAATTGGTGCGACAGATCTCATGGTTTAAAGATGAGAGGGACCCAAAAAAAGCAGCGTGTCTTCAGAGAATTTACGCAGGAAGGTGGGTTGGCAGTAAGATGACAAGCAGGGTTAAGGAGATGGGACGCCAACATGACATATCCTTGTAGCAGCTACTCCCTTCCCATAACTTTCCAACAATTAATCTCCCTCCGGAAAAGGGATGTTTACCCAGATAAGTTGTTGTTCCTCCCACAATCCAGCAAAGGGAACCCAAGTTCCTTTGCTGTAAGACTTTGGATGTCCTTGGATGACCCCATACTCTTCACCTTAGAAATACATTCCTTCTAGGCTTACCCCAAACCCACCTAAACTGTAGCTGCCTCAGGAGTCCCCAAATAGAAAAGACACAAGCCTGTGACCATGGCAGGACAGGAGGCCAGCAGCTCTTCTCCACTGACTACTTCAAGTGCTCTCTGGGCCACTGGAGATTTGGACACAGAAGCCACTGTTTCCTACTGTTGTAAAAGGCCTGCTTGAGTCCCAGCTGAAACACAACTTGAAGGACCTCAAACTTAAAATGTCATCTTCTACCCAGGAAACCTCCCAAGCCCCTGGGGCTGGGTTTCTCTGAGGGTTTAATCTTCCTTAGAGGAAGATTAAATTTTATTTAGAGATTTAATCTTTCCCTTAGAAGGAAAACTCAAAATTCCAGGGAGATTTGCGCTGAATGTTGTTCTGAACTTGGATCTTCAATCTATTAAGGGAAGAAAATGGCAATATCTAAATAAACACTGACAAACCGTCTTCCACATCAGGAAGAAAAAGCCCTGATGGACCCATTCCTACCAGGAAAACACCGCTTTGATTAGAATCATAGAATTGTCTAGGTTGGAAGAGACCCTTGGGATCATCGAGTCCAACCATCTACCCTATTCTACAAAGTCCTCCCCTACACCATGTCCCTCAGTACCCCATCTAAACGTCCCCACCACATCCAGGGATGGTGACTCAACCACCTCCCTGGGCAGCCTATTCCAGTGTCTGATCACTCTTTCTGTGAAAAATTCCTTCCTAATGTTCAGTTTAAACCTACCCTGTTGGAGCTTGAAGCCGTTCCCTCTTGTTCTGTCACTAATTACCTGTGAGAAGAGACCAGCACCAACCTCTCTACAGTGTCCTTTCAAATAGTTGTAGAGAGTGATGAGGTCCCGTTTTGAAACCCTGGAGCAACAAGAACCAGATGTGGTTGCACCCTGTGGCTGGTACCTGCTTGTGGGCCATACTGGTGTTTCAAAGGACTCTACTGGAACTTCAGAGTTGACACGTGGGATGGGAGAGCTGCTCCCAGCGATGTCCCCTGCTCCCAGCAAACACTCAACCTGCCCCTCAGTACCCTTCAGCTGCTGGTACTCACCACCACCACCCTCTCTAAAGAAGTTTTCACATCAGATTTACCAAAGACAAAGAGAAGCAGCACACGGGGGAGCGAAGCACCAGTTCCCAACAGCTCCACAAAAGCAAATATTAAGCCATTTTTGGGTGTCTGAAGCCCACCTGCTGGTCAAGCCATCACACCAAGGACTGTCAAGGAGATCTTAAAAGAGCTCTTGGCTCTGTGTCCATAAACTACTTGATCTAACTGAAGGCTCTAATGCTAAGAATCAGTTTCCAGCTGTCTGTTGGTAACATTAATGAACATTTACAAGTTCCATGATAAATCCTGACTTGTGTCTCATACCAAGAATCACAGGAACTACAAATCTTGGGCCACAACTCGAAGCCTACGCCCATCTCTTCACTACCATTATGTCAAACAACTGTTCTGTGAGCTCATAACTAAAAAATGAAGAAAAGCAGCAATAAATTATGTATTTGCACTACTGAGTTTCCCAGAGCAGAGAAGCTGCTCCAATCCACTGCATCAACTTTAACATGTCCAAGGCTATTTTTAAAAAATGCTACAGTATGAAGAATGACAGTGTTTAGCTCTATCTTCTGCTTGTCACGCAAGCCTGGGAAGAGACAGCAGAGGCAGGACCCTCGGGTATATGGAACATGAGACATGTTGCAAGCACTTAAAACTCCTTCCAGATCATCTTCACTGCCTGTACCTGGCTGTCGGGATGGAAACGAGGGAGTAGACCATCCCATTTAGCTCCCCAAGGGATGTCCTCAGATGTTCCTTGAAGCACCTGTTGTTGGCTAGCACCAGTTTATTTGCCTTTTTTTTTTTTTCCAAGGGTGTATCTGTTTTTTTTTTAATTCCTGTTCCATTAAAGCATAGAGGACACCCAAACTGTCCCTTGTGCTGGCCCCGAAGATTTTATCTGACAAACCATTTTGCCTGGAAGCCTGTTCATCTGAAACAAAAGCAGGCAATGGACTTCAGGATAGGGAGCAGGCCAGATCTGCAGGGTAGTTCTTACAATCCTGTCATGCAGCTGTCAGAGGAGTCAAGCAAAGTGGGCTGAATAACTCAGCATTTAAATCACAGCTTTGCTTGGCCTCATTTGTAGTTCCACCCTCCAACAAAAATTGCAGCTGATGAAGAGTCATTTCGCATCAGAACAAAAGTGACTTGAGGTTTAACCCCTCCGGAGTGACGTGGCAGAGCTGACAGGACTCCACACCAGCAAATCTCATGTCTTTCTGGGGACACCTGTGCTCTCTGAACAAGAGGGAGTTTTCACAGAATGATATGGGGTTGGAAGGGACCTCTGGAGATCATCTAGTCCAACCCCCCTGCCAGAGCAGGTCCACCCAGAGCAGGTCCCACAGGAATGTGTCCAGGGGGGTTGGAATGTCTCCAGAGATGGAGACTCCACCACCTCTCTGGGCAACCTCTTCCAGGGCTCTGCCACCCTCACACCAAACAAGGACCTCCTCATGTTTAGATGGAACTTCTTATGTTCAAGTTTGTACCCATTACCTCTTGTCCTGTCACTGGGCACCACTGAAAAAAGACTGGCCCCATCCTCCTGACACCCACCCTTTATAGTACTTATAGACATTGATCAGAGATCCTCCCTCAAGTCTTCTACAGACTAAAAAGACCCAAGTCCCTCAGCCTTTCCTCAGCAGAGAGATGCTCCAGGCCCCTCATCATCTTTGTAGCCCTCTGCTGTACCATCTCCAGCACTTCCCTGTCCTACTTGAACTGGGGGGCCCAGAACTGGACCCAGTGCTCCAGATGGGGCCTCCCCAGGGCAGAGCAGAGGGGCAGGATGACCTCCTTCCACCTGCTGGTCGCCCTCTTCCCGATGCCCCCCAGGATGCCATTGGCCTTCTTGGCCACAAGAGCACATTGCTGGCTCATGGTCATCCTGTTGTCCACCAGGACTCCCAGGCCTTTTTCCTCAGAGCTGCACAATGCTTTCACAATGCTCCGTTAGGAAAGCTGCCACCCCACCTCACACCAGGAAGTCCATTAGATGGTGCTGCTCATGGAGGTTCTCCCTTGTCAAACAGGCCCTGCAAATCTTTCTGGCAGAGCTCCCAGGGACAAACAAGTTTTACGGTTATTCAGTAACCAAAAAAAAAAAAAAATTCAAAAAAAAAAATCAGGCGGTCATGGTCTCTTAAAAACTTAGCTGAAGACCAAATCTGGGCCAAAGGCTGTAAATTTCCCACCGCTGGATTAAATGCTGATTGTGTTCACTGGAAGAAGGGACACAAAGTCCATGGTTTTCCATAGACTTGTCCCATCAGGAAATGGTGTCCTGCTCCTGTCTGCATGCAGCTGATTATAGCTGATTATAGGGATGGTAGCACACACCAAAAAAAAAGAATTCTGCTTTAAATTTATCTTATTTCTTATGTTCTATGATTCTATGTCTGCATAATTCAATTTGCTTCTCATGTACCAGCTGGCTAGGACAGTCCTTCTGTCACCGGGCTTATCCAAAGTCTCTGTGACTCCATACTGGGAGCCTTCCCTGATCCTAAGGAGGTACTGACTCTGTTCCTCAGCTCTCTCTAACATGTCCTTCCAATCCTTCCAGAACCAGACACACCAGTACCCTCACTGCCACCACCAGTGCTCACCTACCCTCACCAGTTAATGGTTAGCCTGGGCTCCTCCAGTCAAGTTAAATGCCTGTGACCACATCCTGCTCACAGGATAAATCATTCTTTTCCTCTTTGAAGGCACCTTTGACACGTCAAAGCTCATAACTCCGCTCAGTTCTCCGGATTAACCTCCTCCAATTCTTTCCCTCTCGCCTCTTAAGACACGTCTTCAAGACCATCTGCCCTTGTTACACCCTGGACAGACTTCACTAATTGGGCTGCAGCTTTCTGCCACATCTGGCCACATCCTCCTGACACCCACCCTTTAAGTATTTATAGACATTGATGAGATCATAGAATGGTTTGGGTTGAAAGGGACCTTAAAGATCATTTAGTTCCAACCCCCCTGCCCTGGGCAGGGACACCTCCCACCACACCACGTTGCTCCAAGCCCCCTCCAACCTGGCCTTGAACCCCTCCAGGGATGGGGCAGCCACAGCTTCTCTGGCCAACCTGGGCCAGGCTCTCACCACCCTCACAGCAAAGAATTTCTTCCTAATATCTCATCAAAATTTCCCCTCTTTCAGTTTAAAACCATCCCCACTCCTCCTAAAACCATTAACCCTTGTCCTATCGTACAATTTCGATTTAGCACTTTTCCGTGTCCCTCCTTTGGTCACACACCTTTTCTCCTGAATCATTTCTCTGATCTCTCAAAATTGCATTGAATCCCAACCCAGTTTGATTTCAGCCTTCCCTGCTTAGGGAACTTACTTAAAAACTTGCTCAAGATCCCTTTAATCTTCAAGCAGCAGAAGTTCATCCACTGCTTAACTTCAGATCACCCCCATTTAAAACACAAGGGAAGGAGTGGGCACTGACACACAATAACACACAGCAAAGACCAAGGAGGTCCCCCAGAGCAGAGTCACAGTCACTTCACTCATTCCACAATATCTTCTTTACAGCCTTACCTTTAATTTTCTGTTTGTACTCTTCTGGTCGGTGGAGGTACATGGCTGCAGCGTCACCATTTAGAGGATCTATAGGGTTGGGATAGGCCAGCAGCTGGGGCAGGAACGATTCAAATATATTGGTGAGATCTGCAAGTGAGAAGACACAGTTGTTAATGTCCATGGACCTGGAGTCAGCCCGATTAATTCCCTGCAGGCACCAGCACTGAAAACAGCAGCACCTTCAAGGGCAAACACACTGAAAATCCGGGCACAAGTCAAAAATGAAGGAAATGGCATCGGGGGAAGCACCCACGGAGCTGATAAAGGAACTTCTGCTGCTGCTGGAGGTGACCTGCAGCTCCTCAGTTGACCACACAAACTACTTGATATCTCAGCAACCCAGAGACAGGTATCTGTGGGTCAAGGAAAGAAGTGGAAGGACACAATTGCCTTGTTTCCCATTTAGGCTCAGCCCTGGCTGAGAAAAAAAAAAGGAAAAGAGAAAACCAAAGTGCTATGCTTCACCTCTCACTGGGTTCTTCTCCTAATTCTGCCTCCTCCTGTCACTGTCTATAACTAAATTGATGTGTCTCGAGCACAGAGTATCTTCCAAAGCACTTTAAATGATTACATGTTAATAGAAAGAGCAACCAACAAGTCCCTCCTCCAACTCCAAACAATTTGCAGAATGTGAAGAGCTGACATTAACACCTTGGTGCCGGTTGGCATCTGTCACTAAACAATCCACAACAGGGAACATCCTTCTGGCGCCGATGAGTAATTGTGGATACACGAAACCCTCTTCCCACATCCCTAAGACGCCAAGCACCACTCTTTGGTGGTGGGAGGGTGTTCAGAAACAAGCCCTGCATCATCGTTCCTCCTCGGGACCTTTGGCAGGACCACACAAACCCACACAGAGCAGAGCTGAAGCCCCCAGTGCAGGGCTGTGTGCCAGGGTTTTGCCTTGGCCACCGGAGAGCTGCCGATACTGGCCAACCAGTGCTTGTCATGTGGGGTTTTCTGTTGGGTTTTGTTTGGGAATATTCTATACATCTTTTATCAGGATTTCCCTTTCCTCCCTAATTATAGGGAGTGTCTTTTTCCTGGTGGTAAAGAAATCCTTCCTGCCTGTGGATGAGCATCACCAATCCCCTCTAGCATGGACTGAAGTAGAGCTGTCAGAAGGGAAGCCCAACGCTCCCGAAGATCCACCATGGGAGCAGTCAACCATCCCAACCTGCCTCTTACAGGAAGGTGTGACTATTCCTGAGCCCAACCATCATCAAACCTCATGGAGCTGCTAAATTCAACAGGGTCTGATGGTGGGCAAGGACCTCAGAGCCATTAACTTTCTAAAGATTCATCAAAAATGGGTGGGCAGGTATGGGGAGAGATCTCCAAGTGCAAAGTTACTCGAGCTCCAGGCTGTAGCCACAGAAAAACCAGGCTCCAATTTCATCCCCAAATATACAGCCTCGGAAGAGCCACACAGTAGATCCAGGCAGATCTTCACCACTGCCCCATGCTACAACTGCCAAAGATCTACCAATGGGTGTTCTTTCAAAATGTGCTTTCAGAGCTTGCTCAAGAGGATTAAAGGAGATTCAAGGTTTTATCAGTTCTTCCCTCCTGCATCAACACGTCTGGGACGTACAGACTCCGTGCTTCTTCAGTCATCCATTCACCACAAACCTTGCTGAGCAGGAGGGAGCTCCATGGCTTTAGACACTCAGGAGTGTAGGGTTCATTATAGCTGACCCAACTGCAAAAAGCAATGACATCAATTGCCATGGCTGTCACGCTGAGTGGCCAAGTGCCACCAGCTGCTCCTGGGGTGAAGCACAACAGCAACTGCAAAAAGGATCCCAATCCAAACAGGGTCCACAAAACCCGGTGAGAACACTCTGTAAGAATATTTTCTGCCGTGGTAGTGGCCTTGCTAAACCAGTTAAACCTCCTGGGGATTTGGCTCAGACATTGTCAGCAAGAAGTTGATTTTAAGTTTGTGAAACCACCTGCTCTTGGGTGAAGTCTCTCCACAGACTAGGCTTAGATCAAGTAACGTGGCCATTAGACAACTAAACTCCAACATAGGCTGAGCAAGGAGAGCCCTGAGAGGCCACCATAGCTCACAGGACACACTGGCAGGGATTTTTCTTCTTTAAGAGAACTCAGTAATTTCCCCTTTCTTTTAAATCCCCCAAAGCGGCACTGGCTTAGCAGGAACCAGCTGAATGAGTGCAAGAAGCCTAAGCACAAAGCTAAAGACTTGAAACTTTGTTAGGGAAGGAGAGGGAATTTAACCACGAGGTCCTCAGGAATTTCTTGGTAGCTATTCTGGGTCTCTTCCACCTTAGTTGCTCCTGGAATTATCTGACCCGTATCCTCTGCCAGCGCAGGAGCACTCTGCTTCCAAGGGGTGACACTCCAAACAGCACAGCTCTGCCAAGAGGCATGGGGAAATATTATTTCCCCCTTTTCATTTCATGTTCAGAAATGAGCCACCCCCTTATTTCACTGGAAGTGAAGCCCTGGAAGTGAAGGGGTGATGGTGGCACTGTAGTTTTTGATGACTTCTGAGTCAAAGGGGCAGAGGACACCCCAGCATCCTCCCAGCAGCTTCAAGGCATCCTGCAGCAAGGCAAGGGAAGTTTGCAGTAAGATGACTGTCAAAAGATGCACTTAATGCCAATTTTCACCAATTACTGTGGAAAGTGCTCTGTACAGAACACACACCTGGTATCTTCAAGTTTTCTAACACCCATCACCGATACCGCAAGGAAAAATGCAGATTTTTGCAAGCTTGCTGATATTAATACATCATAGTAAATACCAAGCTGGTTTTTCTACCTTGACAAGCAACAGGGGTGACAAAAACACAGCAGCGCTCATTAGGAAACCTCTCACAGAAAAACCTTCCTGTAAAACTGGAAATAGTGCAGAAGCCCCACTGTGGCTGTCGGTGAGAGCGTGCTGCCCAACAGGGAGGCTCATCCATGCACAGCTTCCAAACAAAGCAAAACCCAGCCTGATGGAGCACAAAAAAAAACCAACCTCACAGTTACACCGGAGCAGTTTTCTTTTGCTCAGTCATCCCCAGGATCTGCAGGTGGCATTTAAGGGCTGGCACAGCAGCCCACGCTGCACTGCCCTGGATTCTGCTGCCGACTGAACCACGCAGGTTCATCCCCAGCAGAGGGCTTGGTTTGCTTAATACAGCTTTAATTCCTCCCTCCTGCATCAGATCCTCCCAGGACACAAAAGCATCCT